ATTAGGGGGCCTTCTGACCTCCAAGCCAAGCCTCTAACAGAATGATATTGGTCCAGCTACTCCCACCTCAATCAGAGAGTTAGATCTTGCAGCCTTGATGCCAACCAATGACATCTAGACCTAGTCCCCCCTCCAGCCAGACTTTCATCTACAGAGTCACCATCTCCAGACGCACTAGGCTCTAAAATTTGTCCCACAGACCACCATCTCTAAGGAAACTATATTATTCATTAAAAGAGGACATTATATTGTGTCCTCTTTTACACAAGTTTAGTTTAGACTGCAACCTAGGTAACGTAGGCATGCCCATCCTCTCGCCCGAGACGTTTGTTTAAATGTGTGATGAGATCCAGACTTGTTTAAAATTGTGATAAGCAAGGTGTCATTGTATCCTTGTTGGATATTATATCTATTTCACGTTATCATGTCTAAGTACTATAAGAGTTATAGTATTCAAAGTATAAGATATTCACCGACAATATGGAAAGTTTGACATAGGTTGAGCCTTGAGGGACAATGGCTTATGGTTTCACTTACAACATTTTTATTTTGTAATAATGGGTTAATTTTGACATGCATCCTTTTTTTGCCATGAGTTCGGTCATATTACAAAAAGTCTTTCAAGTTTGCTAGCTTAGCTGGGCGGACGTCTGGGACCCGTCTGGATGTTTGACTTGTCCGGTCGGACAACTAGGGAGACGTCCTCCGGAGACAATATGTCCCACCCTCTAGAAAAAAACAATGTCGGTTCTTCCTCACATGAGGTATATGCCACAAACGTTTTGGGTCATTTGAGCAAATATAAAAAAAGATTAAAATTTCCAAAGATTTCTGTGTCAATTTCAACAAAACGGGTCCATCTTATTGGGCTCAATTTCAGCCATGCACCTCAACCCACCCCCCCAAAACCCCCTTTCGGGCCTTTCCCTATGTTTTGCATTTTATTTTTTTTTGCTCCAAATGAGCTGAATGCTGTTTTATGGGGGCATCTCATGTAGCGCAGCCCCTCTCCTTTTTTTTTTTCGTCTGTACTTTGAAGAAAATGAGTTGTCCAAGAATCCGGACAACTCCCTCACTGGACGTTTGATGGAGACGTCTCTAGGAAACGTCTCCAATTGGACATGTAACCTAGCAATTTTTTTCATTGTCGATAGAATCCGCACTTACTCTTTAATTTATCACGCATAAGAGTTCCATATATGAATGCAAACTCTTAGTTGTTAATTCTATGCAATGTACGAGTGACATGAAATCTGAATGGATAGACACGCAAGAAACTTAGTGATCATTGCACACTGGATTGCACACTCAAATTGAAATTTTATACATTGTCGATGGCATCCGCAGTAAGTTTTTAATTTGCCACATTCAAGAGTTTTAAATATGAATGCAAAGTTGTTGATTCTATGTAATGTAGGAAGTCACAAGGCATTTGAATGAATGTAGTACACATAAGAGACTTAGTGATCTTTGCATAACAAATCACACACTCAGTCTGACATTGTTGAATTATGACTTGCATCGTCATTACACTTTGTCATATTACTCAACAAGTTAGAATATGTCATGTCAATGATATCGAAACTTCAAACTCTCCTATGCAAGAATTCACAATATAAAATTTAATGCAAACTAGTTTAAATGTAGAAACTTTAAGGCATATCTCGACAAAGGCAGTGAGCTTATCACACTGCACGCAAACTCGTAAGAATAAAAGAAAGTAGTGACATGCATTTTATCGTGGCCAGTTTTTTGTTGAATTAATGCAAACTAGTTTAAATGTAGAAACTTAAAGGCATATCTCGACAAAGGCAGTGAGCTTATCACACTGCACGCAAACTCGTAAGAATAAAAGAAAGTAGTGACATGCATTTTATCGTGGCCAGTTTTTTGTTGAAACTAGTTTAAATGTAGAAACTTAAAGGCATATCTCGACAAAGGCAGTGAGCTTATCACACTGCACGCAAACTCGTAAGAATAAAAGAAAGTAGTGACATGCATTTTATCGTGGCCAGTTTTTTGTTGACGACTCATTAATAAAGAGAAACTATCAAAATGAAGTTAGGAAGTGCTATACCAGTATCAAAGACAACGAGCTTTAAGTATGCATGTTGTCAATTGTTGTCGAATATGTGGGATGTCTCTCAGAAAAAAATGTGAAAGTTGGTTGATGACCACATTGTAACCGCGTTGCAAACATCAATATAAACACCTTGCAACTTGCCCCATCCACTTATCTTTGAACTCTATCCATCACAACATTTGCTTCTATAGACTTCCAACTCCTATGCGACTCGCTATGTAATATTTATTGTTCCAAATATTGTAGAATCAAATTGAAGAGACTAATTGTGAAATCCCTATCAGCTACAACGCGATGAAAAATCAAAAAGTTTTAAGGCATTGCCTTTTAAGTTGACGGGAAGTAGGATTCAGACTGAGTGATAATTATCTTTGCGGACACAAGGATAATCTCATAATGAAGTATATTTATGTTTTTCGTCCATCTTCGCACCCCACTGTATCCTTGAAGTTGCAATTTATTAAAGAAGAACGCATTGAAGTTGAAGATACGAAGACATGACGACGCGTTACGTGTCGCACATGAGGTGGACCACAAAAGCGCCATGTAAAAATTTACAACTTCATCATTAACCTTGTCGTCAATATGCAAAAAGGTGAGGATATATTTTGTTGCAATAAACAAATGATTCTCAGGGACTCAGGGAGGGTAGATGCAACTGTGAGAGGTGGCACCAAGCCTCGTATAATGTCTTCCAGAACTCACAAACGTTGAGGTACAAGTGTTGGAGTGAAGCTTCCGCTGCGTGCTTCACCGATTGTGCTTCACATTACACAACATTGATCAACACACACCGACCAATGAGAAACAGGGTTCTAAGGAATGTCATGTGTAGCACGATGCATTGCCAAAATATTCAGATACATGGTCCGACCCCTAGATACAAATTGTGGATATGTACCCTTCTCCAGCGCCAGAAGGGAAAAACATTGCTCAATGACTATGACATGCTCTTTCTTTACAATTTCGACATCGACCTCTGACGCCTTTAACATATCCTTATTTTTTGTCCTCAACCCGAGAACTTCTTGCAACGTGTGCTTCGGATATCTCGCGGACCTTTGTTTGAAAGATTACCCTCTCCCTATAAAATAGAAGAAGAAACAAGAAATAAATACACGTTTCCAAACACGGATCCAATGAAAGTATCATATGAAAGAAGGGAATAACCTATAAGACGCAGAACCTTTACAAGTACTAGGTACCGACTCTTTATAACTCTAAACATCGAGACGTGCGTGTGTGGCAAGACAACAGAGCGAAAAGCGCATGCGAGATTGAACCTCCCGCCATCGGCATAAGATAACTATATAAAGCTTCAGTAGCCAAAGGGGCGGCTGCCGCTGAAGTCCCAGATACTGACGGACTTCTATCCACACCATGCATACACAAAGTGACCGCCGTATGCATCGACACTAGAAGTGCGGATACCGACAGACTTAAACTACTACCCCTTCTGACCGGAGGAAATTGCCCCTCTTGTGAGTTGGCCAGGGTCTCTGAAAGGGGGCAGAGATCACTGTTTAGCATAACAATCATTTACTAAAAACGGACATATTATATTTTTTGAACGAAATTAAAATTGAGTTTTTGGGTCGAAATCCGATCTAAAGTTTTGGCTCTTGGAGGTCCGGCGTTCTCTGTAGATGTATCCGGTCTTAAGTTAAGACCACATGCATCTAGGGGGGAACGCCAAACCCCTATGAACCAAAAATTTGGACCGGATTTCGGCCCAAAAACTCGATTTTAATTTTGCTCAAAAAATATAATTTGTTAGTTTTGACGAAATGGTTGTTGAAGGAAAAAAAATAAATGAAACACCATCAAGGATCCTTTCTCTGATGGTGTTTCGTGTTATTTTCTTTACCCCTCTCTAAACAGCGGTCGCTGCCCCCCTCCTAGAGTGTAGCCCAATCATAGAAGGGGCAATTTCCTCTTATCGGAAGGGTCGGTAGTTTAAACCACCAGTCCTTCCTACCCGAGGAGGTTGACCACCCTGCGAGACAACCATGTTTTTACGAGGGGGGTTACGACCATTGTTTAGAAGGGGGGGGGGGGGGGGGGGGGGGAACACGAAATACCATCAAGGAAGATCCTTTCATTGATGTTTTCGTTTTCTTCCCCCCTTTCTAACCAACGATCATTGCCTCTCCCCCTCCGCCCCCCAGCTTAAAACCAGACTGAAACGATACCGGAAGAAGTGATGGTTTAAGAATGCCACGAAGGGCCGACTTTAAGGAAAGGGAAGTCTGCGCTACGACAACTCTATATATGAAGATAAATGTGAATGGAAGTTCGACGGAATCCGGACTTCGGTCACATATTGACTTTTTCGATTTTTTCCTCTCATGTCTATAGTGTGGGTGTACAAAGGAGAGTGTCATTGTTCACCGCTTACCAGCCGACCGATCCCTGCGCTTATTCGTAGTTGGAGTCGACGCGACCAAGGCCAGCACCGCAACAACTGGAGTGCCATCCCTAGACCTTTTCGGAGATGTGGCATGTTGTCCCTTCCCGACTTCGCCCTTACCGCCAACGACGCCGATGTGCGTAAATAGAGGAGACGTGTGCAGCGCAAGAGTGGCTGCAGGCTTGGATTGTTTGGCGTCACCGAGGGCCTCAATGTTCAATGCAACAAACGACTGTGTCGATGCCGGCTAGCCACCGAGGATGCTATCGATAACTTCGTCCACATTTATACAACCACCTGGTTTTTGCGGGCTCACAACAACGGAAACCTCTAAAGACCTGTGCTGAAGTTCGGAAACAGGCAAAAGCGGTTGAACTCCGTAGCCTATATGTGCTGCGGAGAACTCGTGAATCACTTGCGTCTCCATCTCCATCACCGTGGTATCCTCATGGACGTTATGCCCATGATGCTATCCGTAAAGTTGCCCGAACTCGTCCGGCGACTCACCAGAGCCACCATCCTCTTCGAACTCACCCACATCAGAGCCCTCCATACTTTCTTCCTCCTGCTCCCCTTCACCCCCTCCTGTTATTTCTTCCACTTCATCCTTTTCATCCTCCACATCTCCTTTGTCCCCTCCGTCGACGTCATCGATCCCCTTTTGATTTCCTCCAACTCCTTCATCCCCTCCGTCCCCTTCGTCCCCTTCATGCACTTCATCCCCTTCCCCCGAGCACGTATCGAACGTGGTTGACAACCCTTCGGCTTCGGCAGTCGAAGCTCCTCGCGATGCGATAGTTATCCCTACCAAAAGACCCCCTTCAGATGAAGATGAAGTGCGGATTCTCGCGGATCGACAAACGCTACACCTCCGACCACTTGCTCGAATGTCGCAGCCCTCCCCTCATCATTAATCAAAGGACTTCTGCCCCGCGCAACAGCAATCGTTGACGAAAGACTGCCTCCCATTAAAGTGTGGATCCCGACGGACTTCGATACGGCGTTCTGGCCATGTACACCTTCCCCTAGGCGCCATGCACTGCTGATTTCCCCCACACATGAAATGGCGAAGTATGGATCTACGCGGACTTTGACGTACTGTCGGGGGATGAATTCGCTGCACGCCATGTTGAGCCAGGAGTCGACGTCTCGCCCGTTGAAGTCCGGATCTCGACGGACTTGAACTCTTGGACCAGACTTGAGCCCCCTGATGGATGCCAACCAACATCCCCCCCCCCCCCCCCCCCCCCCCCCCC